CCTCTTCCTTAGCTTATCTTCCCGCTGCTTCATATAACTTGTCCCTCGCTCCTGTCTGCACATACCCCCTTCTTGCTCCCACGTCTCGCTCTATGAAATATCGACAGGGTCCCAAGAGCCCCGTTCCGCAGAGGTCAGTAGTCGGAACCAAATGGCACGCACTGAACTTTGAGTGAGATATCCTCTTACTATTGTTTGCGAAAATGTTAACAGCACTGTCACCGCACAGTGCAACGCAACACAAGCGGAACAACGGGCATCTCTTGGAATTGCCCTGTTGATAGCACATGGCAGTAAGTAATTCTTAATTTAAATATCTGTTAAGATAACGGGAGAGTAGGGAGATATGAAATGCATTCAAAATTTCGGTCGCAAAACCTGCTAAGAAGAGAATACAGCTGGCTAAAAATGTACCTAACAAGTTTGAACTCAATTTTATCCACAAAGAGCAATTCTAATCTGGAGAAACTTTGCTGACGCATTGTAGAACTCGAGTCATTTGTTTTCATTTAGGTACCAGGTCACCCCAAAGACTTTGGAGGAGCTAGAATCATCTGTTGATCGTAAAATCTTCGCAATTTCAAGTGATATTATCAAAATGTGGTGTCACACTTTGGGGTGAGACTGCGAAAGACCATCGAAGTGCATTTGCCATATGTTCATTATAAAAATTCACATATCGGATGTTTTAGAGGAAATGCCCCTATTTTGTCTCCTAGATTCTTTTTAGTTCTTATAACAAGGTGAGATGAAAGTGGCATCACAGTATACAGTTTACTTATGATTATTTAGCCCTTACTTGTGAATGATCTGATGGTATCTTAAAATAGACCACGACCTCTTCTCCCTCCCTAAGTTCACCACGCTCGTATCCTCTCATCTCACTCGGCGCCAAATAACCTCTGTACAACGCCGATGTGTGTGCGGCGTGTTGCAGGAGGGCATGGGTCAACTGCGGATTGTGACGGGTGGCATACAGCTCAGTGGCCAGGCCATGGTTCTCGACGCTCTGCTGGCGTCATCAATCCGCTCCAGAAGAGGGCAGCCGATCACTGTAGAATCCAGCCGAAACTTCACAATCAACACGAGGGACGAGGGCGGTCGAATCGTCAATAGGATATTCCTGGGTGAGTCGCAGTGGGTGTGTATCTTCGGGAGACTCCCGAGAGGGTCAGAGTGAGGCCAAGAATCAAGAGTTTGCATCCGGATGCTCCTTAAAAATAGAGTATTTCAGTGTTTAAGAATCAGGTCTTGTATCGGGATATGCGACTCTCTTAACTTTAGTTTGCCGTAGTTTTCTTCAGTCTTTTCAATCACACTTGAATGACACATCAAAATATGCTACTGCTGCATCCTTTCTAATCCCTCTCAGATCGTCATTCATAATCATGCTCTGTGATATGACGCAATCTAAGTTGTGTTTTCTGTACAGTGCAGTTAAATAAACCCAACGGGGCTGGTTTGCATAGCGACATAGCTAATGAATCAGATTTTCTAAGTTTTCCTTCGTCCCTCCATGCGAATATGAGAAAGTAAAAGAAAGGAAAAGACAAGTAAAGAAACAAAAATAAAATAAGAAGGTATTTTAAAAGACACAATAAAAATGACAGAAAGAACGTACGAGTTATAAAAGAAAGGTGAAAAAGAAGAAAAGGAGTAAAGAAGAAACGAAATTAATGATGAATGTTTGTCTATACAGAACCAAATGAAAGAGGCTGAAGCAGTTGCTAAACCGTACTCGCCTTTTATTACATCCAGAATCATCCTGGTGATGCAACGAGGCAATGCTCCAAGTGATTCTGGATGTAGCTGAAGTGTCAGTTTCATGCTCCAACAACTTTTCCCTTCAAAATGATTCCTCAGTGTCTGTAGAATAGGGTATTGGGCAGGCCCCAGATGTAACAGCGAACAAAATATATTTTCCTTGCTAGAAATATAAACACCCTGTGGTCCGCACCTCTACCTACTGATTTATCACAGCTCACCTGTCAAGCTAAATGCTCAATGAAGACCTTGAATCAGAACGGGTTATGGCTCATGTTCGTTTTCAGGCAACGACCGCTTGGTGTGCCTGGCTAGAGGGTTTCGTGTCACAGACACCAGGGGCACTGTGCTCTTCTCTGCCGACAAGAAGGAAGTCGTCGTTGGAGCAGAGGTCCTCAGGGTCACAGGTCTGTTTCCTTTCCTTATTCTGCGCTTCACTGATCCGCGTCCATAGCCAGCTTTCAAATTCTCTCTCGCTGTTCGTGTCCTACATCCCTTTGGCGTACTATTGTGTGTTAAGAAGCAAAGCTTTTCAGGGTCTGTTGTTATTCGTTTTCTTAAGATTTATATAATGCTGTCATTGTAGTAGTAACATGAAACAAGTCTCCATTTCCTCATGTCTGTGCGTCCTTGAAATTTAAATCTGCGAGAACAAATGCCATCGACATCCATCAAGTACTTTCCGAGAATAAACGTACCTCCAGACAAAAACACCCATTGATTCCCATAGGCCTAATGTATTGTAATTATACAGTTACTACAAATAACGCATTAAATATTAAATTAATGATTATGTTCCTAAATTTAGAATGGAAACTGAAGTTCTGAATATACTGTTTCTGTAGTTCACCAGCGTTGACAAATGTAAAACATTGAAAAGGAACGAGTTTAATGATATAGCACTTCGCCTGTGTAGTCTTGTATAGACTACACGGACGTCACTGATGACTGAGAATTTGCCTTCGTATTGCGAACTATCAACTTTGAAAGACGAAATTATATTCGAAGAGCTTCTCCAACCAATTTCTTCTTTTCACACAATCCTAAGACTCACATCTTCACAGGATTTTTAAGGCCGTTTTATTTTCATTGAAGGAGAGTTCAAGTGTCCTGTTCATAACATAATGATTATATTGCGCAGATTTCATTTTAATTTGACCAAACGAGACTCATACGCCATTGATACGTATTGAATTCATACATTCAAATACAACTGTTTCTACATATTTCCGTTACTTTCAGCCATTTTTAGGCAGTTTACGCTAAAAATTAATGTTGTTAAGAGAAATAGACATTTAGTAATTCTTGTGTAGAAAATAATAATTTTACAACAAAGTTATTAACATTTTATAATCCATATACGTTTTTCTTGTTGTTGTATATGTATGTTCTAAACCTCGCGTAAAATACATCTATTTTACAATAAAATTACTAATATCTTAATATCCGCAAAAATATTTTTATTATTGTTGTACGTCTTGTCGTTTTAATAACGTTAACATACAGAACGAATTCCCGTAAGAAAGTCATAAATACCATAGACGTGTACGGAGAATACAGGTCTGCGAAATGGAAATTTCTGTGTGATGCTGTTAAACGTAGTTGGTTATGAAGATTTCTGTCTTCTGGGTTGTTGCGCTGTGTAGTCTGGTCGATGTTTCCCAACGTTTCAGAGGTCATACTGCCACCATCATCAGGGCGATGAATATGCCAATACACAGCGCAACAACCCAGAAGACAGAAATCTTCATACCCACCGCTGTGAAAACCTCAAAACATACGTAGTTGGTTATGTTGAAAATAATCATAAGACAGCAGTTAGTGCCGATTTTAAAATCCCCAGCACTGAGTTTTGCCTGTTCCGTCGATAGTTCAAATCTCATCGGTGTTCGTTCTTGTCATGTCTTGGTTCTTACTGTTAATGCGTTGTCTCACCTTTTTTTCCATTTTCATTCCTTCTAGGTGATGGCGGCGCAATTTTCGACGGCACAGTACAGACGCCACTGGTGAGAGCCGACTCAGGAAACGAACTCAGGTCAGTGTTTCACAATTACATATTTCCGTTGATCTGACCCTTCTGGAGCACTAAGAAGGCAGGGTTACGAGAATTAATCATTGAGAGCTCTAAGACGTCCAGAAGGAAGAGTTTGTTACATTTTAAATATTATAGAAGGGGATGTTAACAGCGTAAATAAAGAACAAGAAGTAGAAGAGGGAAAGAAGAAGAAAACGAAACACCCATATAAACAGAGTCGCTTTAGGACAAATGGTACGCCACTGTTTGGCACACAAACACAATTATAGCTGTTGAATAAGGAAGAATTAGTATTCTTTTTAAATACTGTGTTTTACTCCGCGACTTTGTGATTTTTAATCTGAATCTACGCTGCAGCGTCTTACAGTCTAATGGTCTGCTGCCGACATCTGGCGCGAAAAGCTGTCCTAATGCATCAATGTCTTTTTTCTTCTTCTTCTTCTTTCTTCGTCATAAAAAGAGATGCATTGCTGGCGGATTTAATAAGCGGAACAGATTGGCTGGCTGGAGCCGGGAAATGGGGGTGAAGGAAGCACGCCTATTAAACACTTGCAGAACTTGTGCTTCCTTGCTGTAATGCAGAGTATCGGACTCGCCCCGCACCCACCCGCTCCCTTTGAGATCTTTGCAACTATCGAGTTCACTCACTAAAGTGATGGACGATTAGGGTTAGAATCCCTGCGACGGCAGTAATCCAGTGATTCGCCTGTTCCTTTCGCCATCAACGAAACGCCGACTCCGGGGTCCACCAGATGCCTTCTCTGGATGATACCTGTGAGGACAAAGTGGGCGAGTCTTGCACTGGCCACTCATTTCCAGGGCGGACCTTAGAAATTTTTCTTACTCGATAAATAACAGGCCTAATCTTCTTGAATATTAAGTTTCGAGTCTCATAGTACGCGCTTTTAAGATCTATTTTTACTCACTGCAAGTATTACGTACATCAGGCTTTCAGGAAATCGAGCGATGCTCACTTCGAATTCTGTTTAATTAGTGTATTATTACGTTAAAATCACAATTTAGGGTGTTTCCGAATTACTACACCCCCATTTGACTTGGAAACTCAGTAGACGCATGACATCTCGGCTAGGATGTTCGGTCTCCAATCTGGGATTTATCTGGGCCGGATTGCCGATTGAATGCTGTAAAATTTGTGTAGTTCAAACAGCGTTGCTAAATAACATGGGCCTGAATCTGAACCAAAAACTACCGAATGATTCGGAAATCATACGTCTGTGCTAACCAGCTCGTTAACTGTCGTTAAGTTTACGTCAAAAAGACGTGTGTATTTTTGTTGGTGCAGGTTAGAATCTCCCACTCGGTCGCTAGAAGTGCGGGCCCCACTGGGGGTTCTCATGGAGTCCCGTGCCGGGGACATCAGCGCCTCTTGCCTCACGGACCTCAAACTGCAGTCCGTTGCTGGCGCGGTACGTATGTTGAGAAAAAACTGCCCTTACATAGATACCATAAACAACAAACATGCCAGAAGATAGCTCTAAATAATATATGCAAATTCTGTTTTAAACATTTTCCCACACGGCGTACATTCAACTAAGTACAGGTGTACCTTTGTACACGCGTAGAGTTCCTGCAGAGACCAGTTCAAGCTGCACTTTATTCTTATTTCATTTCAATGAAGAGAAATATAAGTCGCTAATTACCACAAAGAACTTAAACTCCTTCAGCCACGTATATTACTCATGTAGACATAAATTAGAGGAATACTCTCTTGATAACCTTACTGCCTCCACCTTCTTCAGTTAACCTACATGAACACCCAGCTTTCCTCATTAAAGCCTATTAATTGATCTTCAGAAAAAAATTTCGACGAGAGTCATATTATATGAAATAAATAATATTTTTATGTAAACGATTTGTGTAATATCAGTGTTTGTGTTTAAACACGTGTTTAATGTTATTACATAGTTGTTTCACTTCTAAATAATAAGGAACAGGATCGAAATCTCTAATTTTGCTGTAAATAAATATCCACTCACAAACTTCAAAGCTAAACATGTTGAAACAATCTACCACGTAAATCAAGTTTCCTTACAGAAGGGAAATGTAGTTTCAGTGCTGTTCGCGAGCTGAGTATATGAAATGAATCAGTACTAGCAACGAAATAAGTTATTGGAGTACGTCTTTACACGCAGCAGCTCTGTCTTTCAGGTACGACTAGATTCGGCCAACGTGTACCTGTCAGGTTTGAAAACTGCTACCCCCACACCTCAGTCACCGCCCCCAAGGGGGCACCATCCCACAGGTCACGAGATCTACCAACTGTGTGTGTGCAGCAACGGGAAGCTGTTCCTGGCGCCTCCCGAGGGACTCTGTGCTGCAGACGACGACAGTACTGTGTGTCGGTGATGAGACTGAACTGCTTGTAGCATTTTCAGGAGTACAGTGCTGCATTTCGTTGTTCCTTGTGAACCTCTTCCTGTCCAAAGTTGTGAACGCATTGCCCGTCCCTTGTGAACACAGTACAATTGGTACGCGTCTCTTAAATCGGAGTGGTACTCTGTTCCAGCACCTAGTGGTACTGACTTTCCTCCCTGTTTGAAGTTTCTTCGGCTTTGTACCGCGTGGTTCCTTACTTTTCTCATAATGAAGCAGGGTAAGGTATTCTGTCTTGGTAATCTAATGTAACTCCTTCGTGTCTCAAGTCAGCGCTTTGAGGCTTCTATTTTTCCCTTGTGAACGAGTTGAGAATTATTTTTCTGCTTAGCCATCCTGTTTCTAGATTCTCCAAATCCTCCGTATCCACATTCCCCATATTGTTTTCTTTTTCCATTTTGAACAGAGAAAATTCATTGTACGTAATTGGCATGCCGGTTCGTTGTGAAAACAATATATGTTTCCAGTGTTCACGTTAACCGTAACACTTCGAGAAACGAAAGTAAATCGATCTTATGACTTACATTCGCGATTCACTAAAACTCAATACATTGGAGCACAACAGAATCGATCATATAAAATGCATCGTTAGACAGCTTCACTCAATCAGCTATGCGTTGTTAGCCAGTTAGTCGAGGCTTACACTCATGGCAGGCATAACAAAGTTATCAACGCATGGCTGCAGCAGGTTAAATATGAAATTTATCTAATCGATTCTAATATGTTTTGGTCTATGGAGTACCACTGAACCACGAAAGTAAGACAGAAGACTTTTTCTCTTTCGAAGTGTTAACCTGGCTAACACGTTCAACACGAACGTTCCGCTCGTCTGTTTCAATCAATTCCTTCCGAACGCCTTGTAGTCTGCCTATTGTAAACACGGTACGAGCAGTTCCTCTATGTTATGAAAGCTTAACGCTGTTTTCCCCGAACACTACCTGGCGCCCTGTCCCTATCCTTGAACATAGTGAATTATATCCCTTGTGAGAACAGTGGATCACTGAAGCCCGTTCCTTCTGAACTAACCGTAGCGACATATATTATTTATTCCAGTGGGATCCATTGTGCTTTGTAACTAATGACCGCGTGAACTCAGCATTGGAAGTATCCCTACAAACTTGGTATCATGAAACTTTAATCCAGAAGATGCAACGACACGGACCTTTAAGTCTGATTCCGTGGTTCGGTTCCCTCGTGCTGTGCAGTTCATTGTTGTGAATGGCTTTGCTTTTCTTTACAGACATTAGTGGTTTTCCTTTTTTGTGAATCTAGAATCATTTGGTTTCGATAAGGAAGATTCAGTTCCAAGAAAATGTATTATGAGGTTCGTCGAAACATATCGAGTTACGTTGCACATAACGTTGAAGATGTGAACAAGGAGAAGTTGACATGAAAGAGGAGAGTTGAAATAGCTGTCTCGAAATAATGCCTGAAGGCGCATTCGAATGATTATAACGAGAATACGACATGAAAATATAACAGAATATTCGGGTATTTATAAAGGATATACTGCGAATGAAAAGAAAGCAAAGTATAACTTTCTTAAAGACATAATCAGACAACAGTCACATTATCTAAGGAAATGTTACGTGAATAACAGACAACGAATCTTCAAATAATTATTTATATAGGCCTGTAACAAAATATAATGACTGCAATTAATTATTTTATTTAATATTCGGTGTATGTGATGTACGGGTTTTCCAACTCCTATTTACGAAATCGCAAACCCACAGACTGGGATTTCACTTTTGCGAAGCGTTTATCGTTCCAGGCCGACGTACAAAACCCTGGAAATATATCCAAGCCCCGGACGAGTTTCGAACCCAAAATTCATGTTCGAGAGGCTCAAAACCGCGCGGTTTAATCGAACATTAAAAATAATTTTATCCGATTTTTAAAGTTGAACTGAATCTTTCGTACTTGAAACTATTCTATTCCTCCGTAAAAAAAATTGCACAAAGTATTTCAATAGAACAGGAAACAGCACGAGGTCATTGTGTGTCAGTGAGAAAAGCAATATTCAAATATTGTCTTGAGTGCTGAAAGTGAGTACATCATTGCTGGGAACAATTATCGTAATTGTGAAGCTCTTTGTTGTGACAGACATGTGGCATAGATTCTACATAGAAATGAGCTTCTTATTGGAAATTTAATTTCGAAACCTCTGGGATAATTAAGATGTTAATATCTGAGAATAAAATGAATGTTGTAATGTAATGATAATGTAAAGAAATTGAAGTTTTGCTCATAGAGGAATCACATTAAACTGAAATCACTGATAGATTGATGAAATAAATGAAACAGACCTATTTTATTAGTGCAGTTAGTTCACGCAAATCCAATTTCCCCCAGAATCCTTGAGACAAATATTACATTTGCCATGTACGTGTCCCCACAGTGGCGGTAATTAACCCTTCCCTTACGCAGAGAGTTTTGTTCGATTTATCTGCAGTCTGTGAGCCGTGAACCCAGTGTCATGACTTCTACCATAGCGGTGGGACCACGCCCAAGATACCTCAGATATGTGGTTACGCCGTATATTTACTGGTAATATTGATCTTAAAGAACTAAATTTATTCCTTCCCCGTACAAAATGCATTAAGTTGTGTTTCACGCATTCTTCAATCTAAAGTAGGAAAAATAATTTCGCTCGGTGTGTCTTATATGTGTTGTTTATAAAAAGAAAAGCATGTTTAACGTAAATTAACGTTAAACTTATTGGAATGTGTGAAATGGAACACATAAAAATGGTTGCAAGCTCTGTATTTAATATAGCACAGCCTTCCACTACTGTGTTGCAGTCATAGAATGACGATAAATGTCATGACATTTAAAAGAATTAATTTTTCCACTGTTCTTGGTCGTTGTGTAAACTGTGAACAAAGCACAAACTGAAAATACTTGCGTGTGATTTACAAGAAGTCCTGTTTGTATAGACAGTGACAATTATTCGTTGGTAGATAAAACTACTGAGATTCCACAGTGTATTGAGTTTTGAACCAACAAATGCTTCCTGTGCAATCCCCACCTTCCCTTCACAGAAGAAAGAAGGTTTGGGCTGCCACAGCAGTGCAAGGACGTTGCCGGTGCTCGACTTCACAGAATGAACTTCAGTGTCGAAAGCTACGCTGAGTTGGAAGACGGCACGATCGAACAACCTTTGGAAAAAGTTGTTCTTTACAGCATATCGGCTGGTTTAGCAAGGATTACAATTTCCTAAAATGTATTTGCTTGTGATGTCATTAGGTGTCATTGTAATTTGACCCTCACGTATGGTCAAAATTTACTGTAAAGCATCCTGAGAAGCGGTGAACCTCAGGCATCTTGATACCACTATGAGGGAGGGGATCAGCTGGTGGTAAATTTAATACATGGTATGGTGTGTTGGCAGCCGTGCGTGACTAGACGCACTTTGTTGTTGGCGTTGCTTTGTGATAAAATCCTCACTTTAGAGTCTAAAGTTTAGACTAAGGAGAGACAAATTGCGACTAAGTACGCGTTAGGACTGCTGATATGCCCAGTCAGGTTGCATTCAAGTGCCCAGCTTATGTTTCACTACAGACAGACAAACATACACAACTCACACACATTAGTGGGTGCCTTCCGTCTTCATTGCTGGAAATAGTGGTATTAGGTTTTTCTATCCTTCATTGAATCTTCCAGAAAGTTATCTGGTAACTCAGCAAAGTATCGTAGTTCGATTCTTCGTGTGGACGTTGTGATCTTTCTCCGCGTAAGCAGCAAACGGTAATAAAAAAAACACATAATTTAATGTCTAGTTTCTTATCTCTGTGTAAAAACGTACAAACGTGACCTAAATGTTCTTTTTCACAGGCTCGTGCATATATTTTGTAATAGAAGCAAATGATTTATGATATATGACAGGACTGCACTTCCAATTTTACCTGCAAAACCGGTTAATGAAATTCACGTGCTTAAAGTTTTATAGACAAATTCAGTGAATTTACCTCAAGGTATAACATTTAAGACTTCCAGAGAAGAATAAACTATAGTAATTTAACAAGCAAGGAAATTAAATTTCGCGTATGCCATTTTTTCAGTCATTCTATAATGTTCAAACTAAAATAAAAACCCTTACACATTTACAATTGACAATTTTTAATTTGTTTTAATGGCAGAACACTTACTCGAAAAACCAAAAAACTCAACGAAATATCACTAGATGTATTTTAGTAGGTAAAAGAGTGGCTTTAAATCGACCATCGAAAGGAAAATTACAGGTTAACAAAACAAATAATAAACTTCAATCCAAAAGCAAAATGATGTCTCGTATTACTGCCCACGTCAAAATCTACTTGTCACCATGACTGACGGTCCTAAATTTCCGACGGCTATAGTTGCAATTATGATATACGTATTTGGAACAATGTCGTTTTATTTAAAATCCTACGTTGAATAGATGTCATTCGGCTCTTAAATTAATTCTCCCCCTTTTGAACATTTCTCTTATTTTATAAGTAAAGATATATTTGTTGGGTAATTCATATCTGTATTCGTTGCAATTGTAACTTATAAATAATGTACAGATTCTAATCAAAGTTGGGATGAACATACGATATTCGAATCCCCCATGTTAGTAACTTTTAATTCCGCGCCGTCTTTAAAACAGGTATGATGTGTGTATACTTCTGAGATCCTTTGTGTCCTTTAATGTAAGAACAAGAAATCTTATGTTCAGGCATTTGTGTGTGTGTTATATATTAAGACTTCTAAGAACCTGTCTTAAGCCCCGCGCATGGCGAGTTAAATAATCTGGGAAAGTTCGGAACATCGCCTCACAATGGAGCCACATGTAACTCGACGCCATACCGCGCACTAATTAGAGGTAATTTATCTGACAGCAATTTTCAAGTAACAAATGTCTGCACGAAAATTGGCGTCCATTTTGTTTCTAGAAGTTAAACACAGTTTTGCTATGAAGATGATAATATTAGTTTGCAAATTTCTGTTAATCAAAATTACTCTCCAACAATCCAGTGATAATGAAATTACGAAATGGTGTTTCCAAAACAACTTCCTACTACGTGCATATGGTTTAGTTTGTAATAACATAGGAAAATTAAGAAAATTGTATTGTTAGAAAGTATTTAAAGTCTGAGAATGTTACATTTAAAGACTGCGAACACAACGAAAGATTTTTTATTGAATGTGTTCTCGAACTTGCAAGAGTGCTGGGAAGAATTATATATACCTGGCTGAACTAAATTTCTAGGTAAAACAAACTCAATAAACGAACTAGAAATACGTTGCTGGAATTACCAGGCCAATCGGCTGTCGTAATTAAGTCACATAACTACAGGTAAACTACAATGAACAGAGCGTGCTGTTCTTGCCAACAAATATTGTAATCATACTTTCTCTTCCATAAATTAAATCTGAAGGTTTGTGACGATAGTGTATCATTACAATGACAAACTTCTTGGACACCGAATATGACATTCTTTTGAGTTATTACGCCGCGCAGTCTTGTAGAAGTGACAGATTTTTCAGAGGTGTTTATATTCTGTAACATCAGGGCAATGAGAGCACCTCTGAAACGTCGATCAACTTCTAGGCCTATTTAGTGGAAAGGCTTTGACTTCTCGTTTAATTTTTCTCAATTAGGTATACTATTTGATGAATAAAAATCTTACGATAATCTCCCATTGGGCTGATCCATTATATTTCCTATTGTATTTAAGACTTCAATAACGACTAGAGAAATGATTTTTTTTTTAAATCAACGGAAAAATAAAAGGCTGCAAAGCACTGAATGGATGAATCCTCACTCCTTGATGAATCCCTCTCTCTCTCTCTCTCTCTCTCGGCTCTTGCAATTCTGCAGCGACTAAGAGTAACAGGTGCACAAGGCGCAAAAGATCTGATCAATTGTTGATCTGTTACGTCTGAACCCACACTGATGATCCCGATAATTTCATTCACATATTCTGTTAATCTCACCAGAAGAATGTCTGATATAATGTTCTATGAGGTTGATGGTACAGAAATTCCTCGGTAATTACCATACTCAGTCTTGTCACTCTTATTATGAATAGGAATAATTATGAATTCCGCATAAAACCAGACACCTCGAACAACTATGAAGTCCAATAAAATTAAATACGAAAAACGATTGTGTGCAGAAAGGCCTGTGATGAAGCATGTGTAACCTAATAGGCCTGTAACTCAGCACTAATAAGAATCTGAGGAGGGGTATAAATTAAATCGCAGAGAGTAGACTAATAAACACATTTAAAATGATACAATAACTGAAAATGTTATTTAATTCGAATATTATAATGCGATACTTTCTTTGTTGGTTTATTGTAATTTGCAAAACTTGAACATTGCAGTACTCGAAAACAGTAATTTCGTAAGACAGATAAATTTCATAACATCAAATTGAAATATATTGGACCAAGAAGGTCATTCAGTCTCGTAAATGAGAAGACTCTTCAATTATATTATAAAGGATGAAGGAAGTTAACCTCCATCCTGTGAATCACGATTTCTGATACTTCTTAAAACAGAGTTTAATATCCTGCTCTTTACAACACAGTATAGCTCATTTTAATAGAGAAATGGACATCAGATATTTTATAGGACTTTTTGATTCGTTTCTGTGAACAGATTGTCAGTGGTATATTCAGATTTTTTTGTTGTGGAGGTTTTCGAAAACCTAGTTCCGTGAACTTCACGTTTTTCGACATAGCTGTAGACCTACATGTCGCATATGTTGAAAACATACATGTTCGATTGGGCTATTTATCACACCTTCCTTTTGTAGCTAAACTTTGTCAGAAAATACACATTTTTTATGTTATTCCACATGTCTAAGTTTTATGGGGATCAATCCTTGCACTTCCTTTTAAAATTAATTCCCTTGAACCACGCCTTATTTCCTTTTGGATAACATACGTACAATACACAGTCTACAGTGTCATATTTCCTACAGTCGGTTTTGTCAACAGATGGAGTTAGTAACATCGATTACGTAAGCAATCCGCTTCCGAGTAGTCTTCTGTTTAACGTGGTCTGGTGACAAATGAAGGTTAGAAGGAAGAAAGTAAAGGTTGAAAGTTATGTATGTTACATAGTTATATTGCTTCTAATAATAGTGCGAAAACTTCATGACTATAAATTTTGGTATTATCATCAACGTTAGTACAGAAATATTCAGAGATGTAGTTTAATTACGAAATATATCGGTGCAGTGTGTGTGTGAATAAGTTTATGCAATGCTGAAACTATTGGGTGCTAAGACGATATTGTTTGTGCTTCGTTTCGAACAGTATAACAACTGTAGCATTATCC